GCACGACTTTCTTTTTCCTTCTTGGCTGAAATCTTTCGTTACTTATCGCTATCAAACGGAAAGCAGAACACAGATTTTCCTATTTTTAAGGACCACATTCTGTTGCGTATAAATAATAACAGCGCAACAATACTTTATTCTTTATTTATTTATATAGCACACACTACATATTTCGACATTAAATTGATCATCTTCAGGTGCTGCAAGTTTCTCACATAACATTACCAAACTGTAACGCTAACATTTCCATTTTTTATAAATGGTTCGTACAAGTTACTTTCTATTCAATTCACAAACTAGACAATTCTAGACTAGATATTGGTTAAAATTATCAATAAAATACAGTAAAATAAGAATAGAACTAGTATATGTGATAAACTCGTGTATACAACAAGAGGCTAAACCTAATTAACAATTAAATATTTAAAAAATGATTTTAAAAATGTTATAAGCTGCGAGTTTGTTACTGCAGTAGACCACGAAGAGGCTTCGTCAAATTTCTTCTACGGTTTGCTACATTGGCTTGCCATGTTAGTATCATAATGTTACCATTTTCCTAGAGAATAGATCCAACCTATTTCATGTTTTCGGGAGCCAATGGTTAATGTGTGCTGCTTATTTTATGCGGTTCATTGCGCTGCGTGGTTCATACTACATGAAGATGACCCGTTTGAGGTCGAAATATTTAGTGCTTGCTATATAAATAAATAAATAATAAAATATTGTCGCGTTGACGGTAAAAATTATATATGACACAGATTTCGGGATAACAGAAGGGAGCCTTCCAGAACATTTCCCTATTCTCAAACATCTCTTACCACAAAGAAGTAGTGTCATTGCTTCTCCCACCTGAACTAGTCTGCTCTTAGTTAGGGGTAAGAAATGTAAATATCGTATCATTACCTTGTGCAAGGGTTCAGCTCGTTAGCCCTTGTGTTCTCAAACATCAAGCTATCTCTTCTTTGGTCTCCCTGGATTACATTTCCTATCGGTTGAAAATATAAAATTTTCTTGGGAGAATTTTCTGACGGCATCCTCTGTGGATGTTCTAGCCACTTCTTCTTTCGTCTACGTATTTGTTTGTTCAGTTTGATTTGTTTCCTTCTGGTCCGTCACAATAACAATTACAAATTATAAATCACTCCGTCCAATGTGATCTGTAAGTTTTTTACTACATAAAAAATTAACACCCTTACATGTTTTGGTCTCTGTGGACCATCTTCAGAGGGCAAATATCACTACAAATAGTAAACCACCATCACATAATTTGTTTACACGTAAAGTACGTACACTTATATGTTACAGTAATTCATTATTTATTCTGTTTAGTTAGTTGTTTTTGACTTAGCTTTGCAGCATTACTTGTCCCTTTTAAACTTAGGTTCAGTTGTTCAGTTTCAGCACTCCTAGCTGTTACCATATTCTGTCGCTCACCTGCAACGTACTGCAGAAACCGTATCTCCGCTGCTTCTGTTTAAATGAGACAGGTGAGGTAATTTCTAGACGCATGATTTTTATGCAGCGTTTAATGGAATTCCGCCAGTTGGTTCGTGAAGAATCGGTGAGGATGGCACTCAAATCCACACACATACCGACATCCCAACACGATGCCTCAATAAGCCTTCGTTTTTTAATAACTTTCAGCCTTATGCTAAATCGTTAGAAGAAGCCCTATTTTGCCTACCTCCTCTCCTCAAGGAAGAATGTACAGTAGTTTCATATAATCATCTCACCGTCTGCAAGCTTCTCTGCGTGTCCACCATTTCAGATTCTGTACCAGCTGACCAATCTCCACGAAGCCTGGTAAGCAATTTATGTTATTCAGAGCTAACCAAAGCTTACTTTTCGACATTGAAGATGGAGGCAATATGCCCCTCCGAAAGTTCAGTACACATCCGTCGGACTTCATGAAGCTACATTCCACAGGAGAGAACCTTTCTTATTTTCTATGTTCTACAACCCGTAAAAAGAACAGGACGAACACACAAACTTGTGAGATACTGGTAAAGTTGTCCCTGTGCTTAACTAATTAAGCACTACGCCACGAAGGCGTATGGGGAGGTGGACGTATGGATCCACATTTTCTTGACCTAGGCACTAGCTGGAGGTGAGTGGTCAGCTTCACGCCCTGGCCGTCTTACCCCCGGGAAAGGAGTTAACGCTACCCATTGAACAGGAAGAACTCGTACTCCGACCCCTCGTTCGTCCAGCCCATAGCGAGTCATCATACCGACAGAGCCATCGCGGCTCCTTGTGAGGTAGGAGTGATATTAAGGTAAAGGTAAAGCCATCCCTGTAACAGGCCGTGGAGGCCCATAGGGTTGTGAGACGATGAGGCTGCCACATTTTCTCTAGACAGTCGGCTCATAGAGGGCGNCCACGAAGGCGTATGGGGAGGTGGACGTATGGATCCACATTTTCTTGACCTAGGCACTAGCTGGAGGTGAGTGGTCAGCTTCACGCCCTGGCCGTCTTACCCCCGGGAAAGGAGTTAACGCTACCCATTGAACAGGAAGAACTCGTACTCCGACCCCTCGTTCGTCCAGCCCATAGCGAGTCATCATACCGACAGAGCCATCGCGGCTCCTTGTGAGGTAGGAGTGATATTAAGGTAAAGGTAAAGCCATCCCTGTAACAGGCCGTGGAGGCCCATAGGGTTGTGAGACGATGAGGCTGCCACATTTTCTCTAGACAGTCGGTTCATAGATGGCAGTAAGTTTGTCAGCCTTACGCGCTGATCGCCCTTTACCCCCCCCCAGGAAGATTCCTGGTACTCATTTCTGTCAGAGGCTGAGTCGACCCCAGGGCCATAGTGCCGCTGAAAGGATCAGGTCAATTGAAAAAAATGCAATGACCTCATCAGGACTTGAACCCATGACCTTCCGGCTTGTAGCAAGTGCCTCAACCAACTACGCTACCGCGTGTTTTTACAATGGTCATTACTAATAACAATAACTAGGTAGATATAAACGACATTAGTGATATTTATTCTAGAGACCTAAGTTATTGTATGGTATAACAAGTTGTGTGATGAGGTATGATCTTCAAGAAATATTAAATTTGTTAATGTAATTATCCGTTCTTTCTTCTTCGCTTTTTTGTGTAGTATGTAGAACAACAGAATGGCGGGTGCATGACATATTTGTATATATATATATATATATATATATATATGTCAGTTTGATGGCGGTAAGTAATAACCCACGGGAGTTCAGCTTTTGATATTTCATATGGAGATAGATTATAAAAGTACCTACGAATTTTGCCTGAAATATTGTTCTTACATCAACAACTAAAAATACAAAATTTCAGGTTTATCAAACTGAATTATCGTAGACAAGCACTGCTCTATATTTATAATAAGTTCCCCCTAACATACTACACTAAGGCTAATATTAGTAGAAATAGTAATTTTTAACATAGGCCTAAATACAGTTGCAATCGGTGAAGGGTTTCGCTAGAATAAGAAGTGAAGCTGTTACCATCTTTGGGTGGATCCAGAATTTTATTCCAAGAGCTAAATTGTGCTTTTTTTGTTGAATTATAAATTTTCATTAACGTTAAATTATAACCTAACAATGCAAGATCTGTAGAACTGGAACTGTACCCAATAGGAAAGAGGCCTTCTTTGATTGCTTGCTTTGCCTCAAAGTCGGCCCTCTCATTCATTAATTTCAACTCCACAGTGTCCGGGATCCAGTAAAATTGGATTTTTTTTTCCCCTTCTTGATTCCAGTCTCTCTACTTGATCTTTAAGCATATGTGTAATGGGTGATGTGTTGCTTATTGTAGAGGAGTTACTAATGCGTTTAAAGACGCTTGCCGGGTCCGAGAAAATGATGAAGTTCTATCGTGTAGTTATTTTTTTTTTTGAGATATAAGAATTTGGCGTCGGGCTGGTGGGCCCATTCTGCCAATTACAAGCTTAAGTTAGAATTTGTAACATGCTTACAAACAGGTTCAGAGTTAAAGCATATTTACATTGAGTTTACAAGTAGGTTTAATATGAAACAGGTTTATAGCATGCTGATGAGTAGGTCTAAACTGAAATACGTGGCTAAGTGAAGGCAGTTGTTGGTGGAGTAGATACGGTTTGTATCTAATTTATGTAGCAAGGACTAAGGTATGTTCATTAAATGGTGATGTCGATGCGGGTTAGGTAGTGAGCAATCGATGCAATAACCCCAGGGTCCATGTCCCTGAGGAGGGGTTCGATCTTGTACGGGGGATATTCATTGCGCTTAATCAGGTGCCTGAACATGTCTTCTCGTGCCGCATCAAATCGTTTGCATTGCCATAAGATGTGGTTGGGAGATTCGATATTTTCTCCGCAGTCGCAAATCGCGTCGGGAACAATATTGAGTCTATGGAGGTGGGTTTTCAGGCAGTAGTGCCCGGCTCGAAGTCTGTTGAGCGTGACGATGGGCTTCCGGTGGAGCTTAATCTTGTTGAACCAGGAGTAAGGTACATCAGCGAAGTAATTATCGAAGTAATATTTTCTTTTGTGTGCTCCCGATGAGTAGCCCCATGCGTAAAAATCCTTTAACATTTTCTGTTTCCAACAGGCTCTAAGGTCTGTCCAGGGTAATAATAGTTGGGAGTCTATGCCTTTGTAAACACTCTCTTTTGCCGCCATGTCGGCCCGTTCACTGTGGGTGATTCCAATGTGGGCAGGTATCCAGTAGAAGTGAACGATTTTACCCTTTTCTTCAAGCATGAGGAGTTGCTCTTTAATGGTAAGTATTAGATGACTACATTGTTTCAGTATCGTGTAGTTACACGAGTTAGAATGTGTATTGTGCCATCTACCGCCATTTGGAGGAACTTCTTGTCATAGTTCCAATCCTTCTCATAAGATAGCTGCCGCTGTACGAACTCCGACATTTCGGTGCTCCCACTAGTCGCTTGGGTTGTGTGACGTCGTGCTCTGTCATTGGCTCAGTTATTCCTGGTGGCAAGGTATTGTACCAGGGTTTGACGGAGTGTTATAGCCTGCTTTCGTGGTTTCGATCTCTCTGTGTCTGCAGCAGTCGAACGGCGGAGTTGTCGCGCTGCGTTCCTCCCACATAAGTTAGTTTTTTTTACATCGTTTGTGGAAGTGATCAACAACCGACATGTCTCTCACCGATCCAGTGGCTTTTCTGAAAGATTTCGTCGCCGGAGGAGTAGCAGCGGCAATCTCGAAGACCGCCGTTGCGCCCATAGAACGAGTAAAACTGCTGCTGCAGGTGCAGCACATTTCGAAGCAGATTACAGAAGACCAGCGATACAAGGGTGAGTACGTGGCCAAAGTCATTGTATAATTGTGCGTTAGGAGGAGATTAAATTACAGCTATATTAACTTTATGCAAGCTTCATTCAGCAGGAAATGGTGTTCGCCTATACAGTGATCCCAGATGAAAATTTCTAGTGAAGTGTTGGCCTGCACAGGGATCATAGATGAAGAGTTCTAGTGTTCTGTGTTTAACTGCATTAAATTTAATCGTAATGTAACGAAAATATTGCATTGTTAGTAAGTGCCTATTCAAGTGACCTACATACCGGAAATGGTGGTCTGTTGTAATCGATTGAAGCATAAGCGGCGAAAACTGATACTAAAAAGAAATCCAAGGACGGTTGCGTAATATGTGAAGTGTGCCAGTTACTGTTTAACGTGTGTTGTAAAATTAATCTTACTCTGTAAATTTGAAGAACTCGTGCTTTCGAGACATGGCCGAAATGTAATCGATAAGCATGGTAACGTCCATTTTGTTAACACGAGGTGGTTTTTCCCATGGTTAATAGCAGCCAACCATGCCCATGGACGTTCGAGACAGTAATTTAGTTTGTCATGTGACGTAGAACTTGCTTTTGTAATCGTAAGAGCGGACTGCCTGGGTATCTTATCTGAAATCCTTTAAGAACTCGTGATGCATTTGGATGTCAACATTCATCGTTAAAAGCGCGGAGTATTGAGATAACCATAGGAGCGAATCCGGCCGGAAATCAAAAGCGGACTGTGGCCCACAATAAACAGACATGTTACGTGTTAAAATTGTTGTTACCCACATTCGATATTATGCAGCCATTACAAGGATTTGACCGACATTAATATATTGGATGGCCTGTGCTAAAGACAACATTTCACCATTTGTATCCCCTGAGGTACCAGACCTCCCATGGCCTTGACGTACATAACACTGACCCTGGCAACTTTGAAAATATTTGTGGCGTTTGAAGACCTTTTGGAATATTCAGCTTAAAAGGTGTTCTTGCCCGATAATAAATAGGAATGAGCAAGGAAGAATTAAATAATTGGCCAGGTTTTAGTTATGTCCCCCATTCACACACTTCTCCATCATTAAAAAAATAATTGATTGCGTATGGCCGGAGTGTTAGTGAAACTTAAATGTGAACATTATGTAACTCCTTGTACAGTACTGTGATTTCAACGTGCACAATAAATTGATCAGTAGGGCTGAATTGTTGAGATACATTTGTAACTCTCGCAATTTTCGAAAATATTTTTATTTAATTTCCAGGCACAACGTGCAAGTCTTGTTGAATGTACAAGCCTGAAACTGTTTCTACTGTATCATATGCAGTGTATGTACTACATATGGAAAAGCATTGTGATCGTGAAAAATTAGCGAGATTTTGACGAATTTACAAGTTTTGAGTCCCAAATACGGAAAAGTTATTACTGAAATGCTGGCGGACCGTAGTGATGTGAGCCTCCCCAGCGCAAGAAAGGCAGGACAACTTTATTCATGTTCGGTATTTAAGAGTTCTGTTACAGGTCGATGCCCGGTGAATACCAGCATTGTAGCCGTAAATGACGAAATGGCAGTTTGCTCAAGAATTGAACCGATTTTATTAGATTTCAGTAATTTATGGAAACTATCCGAAAATAAAACTGCGAATGTGGTATCTTCAGGAAGAATAGCGATAACGCGCACCAGGGTCCCAAATGCGAAATGCCGATTTTGTCGAAACGGGGCTTTACCAGTTGGATTCCGTCGTCGTTTGGTATTCAGGTAGCCTGCAGAACAACAATCAGTTTCGTTTCCAAGGTGACAGTCAAGGTCAGTTGTGAGAAAGTATATGCAGTGTTTTGCGCCGATATTTAAAATGGTAATTGCGAAAATCCCGTAGCCGATATATTCGGTCTGAGTTTTAAGACATCGGTAATATAACAGTTTAGTAACTGTATTGAAATATTTATTTGTGGTTGTTTCAAAAAATATTTTAAGTGCAAAGGGGGATGGTGCTTACCATCGCGATTATGTTAATTTTGTCGTATTAAGATACATTGGAACAATTTCAGGCTCTAAAATATAGTCAGAAAATTTTGGTGCAAGTAGTTATTGGATCTCATAGTTTCATAGTAATATACGTGTGAATAATTTTTTTGTATATTTTTCTTCTGAAAGACTTCCAACATTTGCGATAGAAAAATAGTCAATACCGTCACGATTTTGTGCGAGACTTGTGGAAAAAGTCTTTACGTTCAAAAACAATAGTATAATTTCGTCTATAATGTATATAGTTTAAGGAAAAATGTGCCAATGCCTATGAAAAAAAGACATGTGAAAAATGCTACGTTAACAGTGGTGTCACTGCAAACAGTTCTCATCACAGTGGAGGACCCCNNNNCCCCCCCCAATTCTCAATATTATAAAATATCAAATTTTTGTTACTACAGGATGTGTGATTGAAATGAGGGTGTGCCACCAGCCGTTACTTGACGGCATAATTAAATTTTTAATGCTGTTCTGTGATGTTTTAATAGGAGAGAACATGTAACTTACACTGTTGATTACCGAAATGAACACAAAAAACGAAATTTAAATTTTTTAACCAGACCATTGTAAATATTGAAGCATGACTTGCTCCTTTGAACAATATTTCACGTTTGGGGCTTAAATTTCCCTTTCAAAATGCACGTGTTGGATTTATATCGAGTATAGTTAAATTTTATCCTTTCTGCTTTTCCTGTTTTATACATTTGGAGGCATAGTGAACTGTTACACTTATATTTTATTCTCACAACAGACGTGTTACTCGTTCCCTTTGAGGTCCGACGGCACTATGGCCCAGGGGTCTAATCAGCCTCTAACAGAAATGAGTACCAGGGATTTCCCGGGGCGTGATGGCCATCCGGCTCGTAAAGCTGACAACCTTACTGCCATCTGTGAGCCGATTGTCTAGAGAAAATTGGGAGCCTCGACGTCTCAGAATCCTATGGGCCTTCACGGTCTGTTGCAGGGATAGCTTTACCTTTGCCTAAGATAAGAATACCATGTTTGATTTCGGGACCGTAACTTAAGTGACTGCAGACTTGCTCTCATGTCACAAGCTCGCTCACCAATATTGTTATTGGTAGCAGGGAATTATGAAAAGTATTGCTTTGGGGTAACCTCTAATGGTATAACGTCCATACCAAGTTTCGTGAAAATCCGTCATCAGGTTCAAATGGGAGACATGAACATTTTGATAATCTCAGAAGCCTTCTTTTCCTTGGGGATAAGAAAGTAGGTTAGCCAAAACCTCACATCATTTACTCACCGGATTTCTAGCCCAGTTTGAACGCTGATGCATGTGGAATAAGTCAGTGTGCACTACCAGACAGTGCAAAAAGACCTGCCTAGTGCTGTCATCCCATACAGCCCATGTTTTTCAAGTGGGATAACCGCAGTTTACGAAGGTTTAATTCTTCTGTCAGTACTTTTTAGCAGAGGCCCCCCCCCACTTTTACCAAAAATTTTCCTGCAGTATGACGTAGAGTGACGCATCTCCAAGGAAGATAGTTGTACACGTATTCTTCAGAACCGGAAGTAGCGCATTTAGTGCAGGACGTTGGCCTTCAGCGACTCAATTTTGTACTTGATTTTCATAGAGGGGTACCCAGTTCATGAACTTGTGCACATGCCCATAAATTATCAGTTCTGTCTAAGTATTATTTTGTAAGCACCTGCCCATTTAACTTCGCTGTAAGACTGCATGACGTGAATGTATGCAAAACACGTAATAACGTACGCTGAACCGTCTGCTAGNAGCACCTGCCCATTTAACTTCGCTGTAAGACTGCATGACGTGAATGAACCGTCTGCTACCGGGATGTGGCTCTGACTGGCAACACGCCCTATCCTTCGCTGCAGAGGAATGGGAAATTTGGAATTTCTAAAATTCTTGTCTCGTTTAACTGTCTATCTATGCAATTCAAATTGTAGGCAATTGTTTGAAAAATATATGCAGATTCGACTCACGGGGTAACGTGCACCATCTGTGAACGCTAGTAGTTGTTGACCTTTGTTCGCCATGGCGGCATGAGAACTCCTTATTCGAATAGACCTGGATTCAATTCTTTGACTGCCAAAAATGTTGGCAGAATTTCCGTAGCTTGCCTCGGTACATTAAGGAAAGTTGGAGTGTGCGTTGAAATGGAAACTACCGTTCTCTTCTACATTCGTCACAGATTAATCATTGTTCTTACATTCGATGCTGTGGAGCCAGGGTCATAACACAATATCAAAAAAAAGTCACTTTTGCGGATACTGTGGTGCGATGCTGATGTGGTTGCATTGGCGTTGCTGTTATGAGATTGCGTTTTTTCACGTCGGTGAACATTGGTTACATCGTACAGTTTGGTATGTGGGTGCTGCTACTAGAGAGGAGCGTAATTGCCGTCATTCTCGGGCTAGATCACTCCAAGGAGTTAGTTAACCATCTACGAAACCGGAAGACGATATAACCGTAACTTCTGCGAAATTTATGACAGGTATCGAGACCATGTGTGTTGATTACACTGGGCGATGTTTGCGTAGAGCAAGGGTCTCCAAACTACGGCCCGCGGGCCACGTCCGGCCCGCGAAAGAATTGTGCAGAAATGCGCCAATTGAACTAATTTTCCAACGAGTACTGCTAAAAAAATACTTGTTCATAGATTTCAAATTCATTAATTAAGATTGTGTTTAAAATATATTGATATTCCATATTATGTTAATATTATTAATATTCACAATTTTACTAATTCTGGACCGTATACTGCGCGGTATTTCTTCGTACTTGTTCGTGGCAATGTAGGTAGCGCGAGCAAAATTTCCTTCGTCGTTTGCAAATTTAGTCATTTCAAATCTGAAAGAACAATTTCGGAAGCGATTTGCTGATTTGAATGCCAGTGCTCAGGAAATTAGATTGTTTTAAAATCCTTTTGGCCGTGATGCTGCAGATGTCCCAAGTCAAATTCAAATGGAAATTACTGAACGTCAGGAAAATTATTATATTAAAGACAAATACAATGAAGGAAATTTGATCGAATTTTATAAATTTCTGAACTCTGAACAATTTCCAAATTTAAAGAAATTTGCTTGTAAATTATTTCCATTTTTGGGACGACATATCTGTGTGAACCATCTTTTTCCCAGATGAAGTACATCAACATGATGAACATTTAAAGTCGCTAAATGTGATTAGCTTTTCAAAATTTGAACCTCAGTTTAATCAGATTTTAAGAATGCAAAAAGAGTTTCATCATTCACATTAATTGTTTTATTATAATTTTTGATGAAAATATGAGCATTTGCTGCTACTGTCTGTTGTCATTAATATACGATAATTTGTTCTCACGTACTTTGTATTTAGTTTATGAAATTCTGTGCTTTAAAATAAAACTCATATACCTAGAGTTATTAATTTCTCATTTTATGCGGCCCGTTGAAAGTGCTGAATTACATAATGTGGCCCGCGTTTCGAAAAGTTTGGAGACCCCTGGCGTAGAGGAAGAGTACACTACGTAAGTGGCTGGCACGATTGGCGTTTAAAACATTACGTAAGCTATTCCGCAATAGGCCATTTTACACGGACATGTAAATAGGGCCAGGTGTCCTACAGATGCGATCGCCATTGTAGTGATGTTGCTGTGTAGTTTGACCGCCTCTGTGGTCTAGTGGTCAGAGTTCCTGGCTACAGATCCAAAGGTCGAGGTTAGATTCCCGGCGCTACCTTTTTTTTTTTTGTGCGAAGTAAAGGGTCTGGAACGGGGTCCACTCAGCCTCTTGATAATTGAGGAGCTATTTCTAGGAAATAGCGGCTCCGTTTTAGAGAACAGAGATTAACGGCCGCGGGAATTCGTTGCGCCGACCACGCGACACTCTCTATCCGCTAAATTTGGCACTAACTTCGCCGACAAGCGGCGGTCGCTCGGTCGGTATAGTTCGCTTGCTGACTAAAACCACGGAGTTTGTTTTTTGTTGGGGGGGGGCTATTATACAGTATCCGGTTGTGTAGCCATCTGTGCTCTCACGATCTTTGGACGTGATTGCGTTATTTACTGATAACGATATGAGCCAGGGTGGTTCTGTCAATACACAGACTGGGCTATGGGCTGAACGACCGGACTGTCGTGGTTCGATTCTGAGCAAGGGAAGAGATGTTTCTCTTTAGTGTCCAGACTGGCTGTGGGGTTCTTCATGAGACTTAGATCTGGCAGCTGTGCTTTGTAGCTAATGAATGGCTAGTACATTCCGTTAGAGCGGTGCTGCCACTTCGCAGGCGCGTCGTACGGAGGACGTACGTGGCGTCTAGCCTGTGGTAAATGTTGGAACACCGTGTCTATAAGCAAAGTGACTATGTAGATCATTTGCATGTTTTTACACGCTTTCGCAGCGTGTAGCGTAGAGATCTAAGCATATATATGCGCCGACATGTTTGCACAGCGAATTACCGTTAAATTATAAGAGACTGTTTACAATATTATATTTAAGCATCCTGTTACACTACACAATATATGACACAAACTTCGTCCTAATTGCAACAATTTATTGTAGTTCTTTCGTCTTTCCTTTCTTCTACACTACATGTTTCGGCCGTGAATGGCCATCATCAGGTGTGTACACTCACGTAGCACCGGTCTAGAAAACCGAAATTAACGGCCGTGGGGATTCGTTGCGCTGACCACGTGACATCGTCTATCCGCTAAATTTGGCACTAACTTCGCCGACATGCGGCGGTCTCTCGGTCGGTATAGTTCGCTTGCGGACTCGAGCCGCGGGTTGTAGGGAAATCGATGCGGCCGATGACCTTATGTACAAGGTTTCCCCTATTCCAAGTGAAAGTCACTGTGATCATATTCTGCAAATGACTGTAACGTGTCGTACAAAACCACATTTGTGGTCATTATTCGTTGGCAGGACATGTAATGCAGCAGGAACAAGCAGTGGAAACTTCTGGGGGGGGGGATTTTATCGGATGTCGCGCTGCAATAAATTTAAACTTCAACGTTTTGCCACGTGAAGGACGTTCCTACCATCAGCTGGAACTTCCAACGTTTTAAATGTGTAAATGGGGCCCACAGGGTCCAAGGCCACCTAAAATCCGGGGTTTCTGCTTTGAACGACCTGTGATATGACTGCAAGAATTTTAATTGTCCAAATCTTTTAGGGGGCCGCCTCTGTGGTCTAGTGGTCAGAGTTCCTGCCTACAGATCCAGATGTCCCGGGTTCGATTCCCGGCGCTACCAGAACAGGGTCCACTCAAGCTCGTGAGAATTGAGGAGCTATTTCAAGGAAATAACGGCTCCGGTCTAGAAAACAAATTAATGGCCGTGGGGATTCGTTGAGCTGACCGCGCAACACACACTATACGCTAAAGTTGGCACTAACTGCGGCGACAAGTGGCGATTGCTCGGTCGTTAGAGTTCTCTTGCGGATTACAGGTTACGGGGTTTGTCTTCTAGAGGAATGATATTGTGCATGTGATACTTTTACTTTTCCTTCTCAGATTATAAGTGGCCAGAATTTATTCCACACAGTTTCCGGGAAAGAATCTAGTGACGAGAAAGGCATGCGAGCGGCACACATGACGTCAGCACAGTATTTGGCACAGTCTCATATTTCGCAGGAGGTGCATGTTTTTGCTCCGTATGTGTGCACTTAACTATACCAATAACTAACTGCTCGTGTAAAGAGGTCCAGTAGGGTCCATGCTGGGTATGATGTAATTGGTGTCTTGGCATCTAGAAAAGAATACCATGGTGTCTGGTGGTAGCAGCAGCAGCGGCAGCAATGAACCAAATAATATGAACAGAAATCAAGCAGAATATTTTCGGTAATTTTATGTATAGGCCTAATCAGTTTTGTCAGGACCAGAGACATCTATATGGCAACGGCAGATTTCCTGTCGAACAAGTCTTGCTTTAGTAATATTTAAAATGAATGAAGGAAATGTAATCCATTGTAGTGTCGTTATATTGATGGTAAACACGTTTGGTTGATGAAGTTTAGTAAGGGCACACTACCACACTTCATTAACGTCATATCTGGAATTAGCATATAAATACGTAAGCTGAACTGACGACGCCCACCCCCATAGCAACATAAGTAAAAAATTAAGCCGTTTCTTTTTTTAATTAAGCGCCAAACCTATGAATGTGTATGGGAGTGGAGGTATAGTTCCACTATTCTTGACCTCAGCACTGGATGGAGAAGAGTGGTCAATTTCGCGCCCCGGCCGCTTCCGGGAAAGAGCTCCTCGTACCATTTAGATAGGGGGCTGGATGGGCCCCAGAACCATTCTGGACATTGCCTGGTATCGAACCCCGGTTGTTCAGCCTGTAGCCTGTCACTATACAGATCGAAGCCCTGCGAAACCAGAGTGAAATCACAAAATTTAGACAAAATCTGTAGTCGATATTAATCGTTCCTGTTGTTTATGTTCAAATATGCACGAGACATCTGATTTTGAAGAATTTTGGTCTCTGTTTATGTGGATTTAGTGAATAAAATGTGTTCTGCCAGCCCTCAAAAGATATAAATTCATTGCCATGGAAATAATAGTAGTAGAGAGTTTCAAATTCGTAGATGGTTACCATGTGATCTGGAATGATCCGTTACAGGTATGATCGACTGCTTCGTCCGCATCCCTAAAGAGCAAGGATTCCTCAGTTACTGGCGTGGTAATCTTGCCAACGTCATTAGGTACTTCCCCACACAGGCCCTCAACTTTGCTTTCAAGGACAAATACAAGCAAGTTTTCCTGGGCGGAGTTGACAAAAATACACAGTTCTGGCGCTACTTTCTGGGTAACCTGGCTTCTGGCGGTGCTGCTGGAGCAACATCCCTCTGCTTCGTGTATCCCCTTGACTTCGCCAGAACAAGGTCAGTTAACAAGACAGTAGTTATTGTTTGTTATGAAGGGATTTCCAGGTCTTCACAAATCCTGGACACCACGTCACCATAGTGCATGTACTTTTAGTCATTGCACCCTGAATTTTCTTGTTTTATACGTAGGTCATACCTAAAGTCATAAGCAACTTTTTTTTTTTTTGCTTGCAACCTGTAAACAGCAGACAAAAGAGAGTACGGTGGTAGGTGGAACCATATGTTGTGTTAACCTTGAGTGTCTTATGATGTCAATAGCTTGCATCACGTGACCAGTATCACTCCTAACAAAATGGCCGACAAGATATGTCGTTTCGCCAGCGTACTGTCATCGAATTTCTTGTGAAAGAGGAAATCCCTGCTGCAGAAATTTACCGGAGACTTCAGCGTGCTTCTGGAAGTGTGTGCATGGGTGCGAGAAGTGTTCGAAGATGTGTGAAACATTTTAAAGGTGGGAACACCAGCATCGAAGATGAGCCTCGGAGCAGTCGTCCTCGAACAGCCACAACTGAAGGCAACAAGGAAAGAGTGGATGAGATCATTCAAGATGGCAGGCATGTGACTGTGGACACAATAGCCCGAAAACTTGGAATAGGGCACAGTGCAGTACAGGAGATGATTGAAAGTTTGTGCTCATCGGGTCCCGCGGTTATTGACCGAAGACCACAAAGGTCAGCGAAAAGCCATCACCTCAGAACTGCTGCAGAGATATCGACACGAAGGCGATGATTTTTGCTCTGTATTGTGACAGGTGAAGAAAGCTGGTTTCACCGTTTCAAGCCTGAAACGAAACGGCAGAGTATGGAATGGCACCATTTGCATTCTCCATCAAAAAAGAAGGTAAAGACAGTGCCATCAGCTGCGAAGGTGATGGGCACAGTCTTCTGGGATGCAGAGGGGTATATTCTGGCCGAATTTCTGGAACCTGGGCAAACCATCAATGCTGCTCGTTATGTCCAGATGCTGCACAAGCTCCGCTGTCAATTGCGCGATAAACGTCCGGGACGAAACATCATCATCCTGCATGACAACGCTTACCCCCACGCCGCTCGCCTCACATTGGAAGCAATTGCAAAGATGGGGTGGGAAGTTCTTCCACACCCCTCCTATAGCCCTGATCTGGCACCCTCCGACTACCATCTTTTCGGATTTGTGAAGGATCAGCTGTGTGGACAACGTTTTGGGACAAGGGAGGCAATTCAGAAAGCAGCGTGTCAGTGTCTTCGGATGGCTGGAACAGAATTTTACAGAAGGGGAATTTTCAAACTCCCAGAACGCTGGGAGAAATGTGTACAAAGAAGTGGCGATTATGTGGAAAAATAAAGAAAGGTCTGTAGATTGAGTTGGTGTATTTGGTTTGTCAATCATAAAGCATGTTACTTTACAAAAAGTTGTTGCTCATGACTTTCAGTACGACCCTCATATTACTGTTACATACAGTTATCTGTTATGTTATTATTCCATACAGCATTTCAGAAATGACAGGCAGAATAAATTCGTAGTTTCTTTACTTTATCCCTTTTCCACCTTTTCTCATCTATTTTATTTGTTCATCCAGTATCATTCCTCTGCCTCTTTTTTTCTTATATGTTGAAAGGTCCTAATATCCTCTTATCTCCCTCCCTTCTTCCTTCCATATTATTTTTCCATTCTTTTTATGTCAGTCCTGTCATTCTTGAATATCCTGGAAACAGCTGGCATGTAATTTTCAGTTCTTTTATTAATAAAAGCAAAATTTCTGCTTTTTATCTGCTTTCCAGATTGTTAGGAAATTTGTGCAGGCATAGACTGCTTTAGTTTATATAAACGGACCTAATGTGCGAGTAGCCCCCTGCATGGTGCAGTGCATCCTGTTCTGAAAGACCCATATCGTGTAAACCATGTACAGGAGCAATTTCCTCTGACACTGGACACTCTGTCTCTGTGTTCCAATTCCATAGTCCTTGAAATTAAAGTAGAAGAATAATATTTATATTGATTATTGTGAAATCCAGAATATAACTGTATTTTGACAGACTGGGTGTTGGGGGTTTCAGGGGTACAAGTTATGAGCAGTAGGAATTACTGTTACGTTTTGTGTGGGCAGTTTTAGTAAGACACTTGTGTCAGTAAAGTGGTGGCATGGGGAACACGTGTGACTCTGAACTAACTAATTTTGCCAAGTATTTTCATAAAGAAGGTTGGAACATATTGTAATGAGTAGAGGTAAACTTGGGCTGGCATGTTAAGTGCTGACTGTTACAGGTTGGCCGCTGATGTCGGCAAAGGTGCAAACCAACGTGAGTTCACAGGTTTGGGTAATTGTATTGCCAAGATCTTCAAGGCTGATGGAATCGTTGGTCTGTACCGTGGCTTCGGTGTCTCTGTGCAAGGTATCATAATCTACCGTGCCGCTTACTTCGGATTCTTTGACACAGCAAAGGGCATGCTGCCAGACCCCAAGAATACGCCCTTCCTCATCTCGTGGGCTATTGCTCAGGTACGTTTATTGCTGACTCATTTTGTAGTTCATTGAAAAACGTCAGTTTATGGGTTTTTAAAATCCAGTAACAGCGTCAGGTTTTCACATTTATCTGCACTTAATACGAGGGAGAGTTGGTAAATATGGATATTGATATTTGAAGCTGGAAAACACATCTATTTCTCGACAAACCCTCCACCAACATTGGTACACTTGTCTTGTCGCTTTACCAGTGCATCGAAACCCGCAGCATAGAAGTCTTCTGACTGTTGTCTCAGCCACTTCCACACCTTTTGGGCCTCCTCATCATCAGCAAAATGTTTGCCAGTAAGATGGTTTTTTAGCACACCATTTAAGTTACTAGGACGATGTCCGGGCTGTAAGGCAGATGTTCAAGAAGTTCCCTTGAATTCTCTCCAGCGTTGCTTGGGCTATTATATGGGGTTGTGGTATTGTCATGATGAAGCAGTACCCCTCTTGCTAGTTTTCCTGGACGTTTCTTGTGAATTTTACCTCAAAACTTCAACAGAATTTCACGGTACATTGTAGAATTTGCGCTTCTGGAAATGGGTTAACTGTACTTGCTGAGAATCCCAAAACACAGTAAGCATAACCTTCCCTGCTGATGGCATACCCTTAAACTTTTTGGTTGATGGTGAACTGTGGTATTTTCATTGCACTCAAGCACACTTTGATTTGGGTTGGTACAGATGTACCCACGATTCGTCCACAGTAACAATCCTGTTAAGCATATCTTCTCCTTTATCTAGATACCGTAAGAGATGTTGCAAGGACAGACCCATTCGGTTCATTTTTTCTTTATCCTTCAGTTCTCCAGACACCCACCGTGCACGTGCTCATGCATTGTGCTCTGTGCGAAACCTTGAGAACGCCCTAGTGCAGTTGCTACACTGTCATCATCCCGTCGGCTTGAATGAACTCTTCCATCCGCTACAATGAGAATTTTTTGATCTAGTTGTGAACATCTTTACAGGATAAACACATCCCACCATAAACAGGAAGCATTTCTTTGTTAATATCCTTTGCATAGAGTCCTTTTGCCTACAAAGTAAATGCACTAAATTCTGTGTCTCATACGATTAGAATTTATGTGCATAATTTTCACAGTGTGAAACCTTAAAATGGGTCATGCCACAGGAAATACATTAGTGCTTGTGAACTTAGTTTATGTTATTTAATGATGCTTCTCGGGTACATAGATTATGAAGCATTAAATGAAAGTGTGATAATGATTTATTAATTTGGGAATATGGGGTAGCAGTTGCAATCTGTTCTAAGGTACCATCCCAACATTTGCTTATAAGTATTTTGTAAACCCATGAACACTTTGGTGTAACTGGCCTGAAGCTTGAGAATTATGCCTGGAATCATCCATCTGTGAAGCCAGAGTAGGAATGGCTTGATTGTCATGTTATGTTTTTGTGAAGAACCTAGATCTGGCATGAAGAAAGCATACATACCTTGCTGCTTGTTTTACCTTTTTCCTATAGCCTTAATGCTTTGTTCTCTTTCACAGACTGTGACTACTGTAGCTGGAATTGTGTCCTATCCCTTCGATACAGTACGTAGGCGAATGATGATGCAGTCTGGTCGTTCCAAGGCTGACATTGTATACAAGAACACGCTGCATGCCTGGGGAGTAATCTACAAGGTAGAGGGTGGTGCAGCCTTCTTCAAGGGTGCTTTCTCGAATGTCCTCAGAGGAACAGGTGGTGCCCTTGTGCTGGTACTCTATGATGAGATCAAGGCTTTCCTCTTCTAGAAGAAGCATTCAAGTCTGCCAACTAGATCAACTTTAATTGACGTCATAAAACATCAATCACCATCAAACATGGCGGCTGCAGAGTTCGTTACCACATGACGAAATGTTCAGCTAGCTTACAGTGTCTCCATATTAATAATTATACTCTTTAATCTGAACAGTTAGGTAACAACATTGATTGGTAACACCATTTTGAGCTGAAATGAAAGACTGTGCATGTTGATGTATCTTCAAGAATATGACAACTAGATGGCTTTAAAATCCAGTTTTAAGAGAGGAGAATCGATAAGCTAACTTAAAAAAATATGTGGACTTGTTTAGTAGGAAATGAGTACAATTAAACAAATAAGAAAAATACTTGAAATAAAAAGACTTTGTCGTCTCCAAGCGTGAGACATTTTATGTTGATTTTTTGTTGGGCTGCTGGCAGCATTGCCCTCTAGAGTTAAATAAAAACACCAGATCTACTGGGCCACAACAGAATTGTATTTTCAGTCTACTGTGTACCAGAAATTAGCTTTCTTTTTTCTCTCTAGTTCTAGTCACCTTCCTGCTCAGAAAATCTTCCCTCCACTCCTGCAGGGTAAGAGGTACAAATGCCCCTGTATTTTTGACCATTGTTGTTAATAGATATGCTCATTTCTGTCATCAGACATAACTAAATAAATAAAACAAGGAAGCACATAAATAACCAAAATAACAGTTCCTTCCTTTCAGTAAATAAGTTTGTAGTGTGCCAGTCTTTCCCACACAGACTTCCTCTTTGGTTCCTTCTATTTTCTTTTATGTTGGGAGTAATCTACAGCTTGTGAGTCGAGGTGGTGGTTTGTTTGGGATCTTGGGTGCACTTTAGTGGTGTTGGTAAATAGTCCTACCTGGTTTTGTATGTTTTAGAAGTGGGTTTTCAGAAAGTGTATTGGAGAAATGAGAGTAGGAGAAAACGTTTTTGCTAGCAAAACCATTGTCGACATATTAGTTTACCCTGCAGCATTCTTCAAATGGTAACACAGTCTTTATAAACGTATACATGTATTACTTGTACGTCCAACATATAAGCATTCATAACTGAAACAAGAAAATAAGTGAAGTGTCATGTTAATGTTTTTATGGTAGGCAGTGGATTTGAACATTAAACTGAGGAAAATCATAAGGGTCATTGACATTAAATGAGGAAGTAACTTAAATTGTTGTGCGCTGATGACTGGACATGGTTTGGATTGAATATTGAATTTATTGAACGGTTATTCCATATAATTACAATATATTCACTGTTCTCCATGCTAAAGGTAAGCAAAGCATACACCAAATGTCAGCCTGCAGTGTCTTCACATGTTGCTTCGTAGCGGCTTACAGCAGTGCAGATTCCTTTTACTGCTTCCCCGCTCAATGGCTTATGGCTAACCACCAAATAACTACTTCCAACTCTTGACAAACTCTCCCAGTCAGTTGCACAAACTACTGCTGGGCTTCGCCACAGTCATTCTTAGTTTTAGGTCCTGAAGGAACCGTGACCGGATATTTCTGTTGTGATAGCATATTCATTGTGTTTACTGAGCAGTTGCCTAGCAATGGCAGTCTCCACTATTCTGGCTTTCAGGCATCATGATACATATATTGAGGAATAGTAAGTGAGGATTCCCACTGTAGAACAGTTGATGTACTAGTCTGTTGCTTTGAGTGCATATCTTAATACACTGATAACAGAAGAATATGATGTGTGAGATTCAGTATTTCTTAATACAGTGAACTCTCGATTATCCGGGATAATGGTGGGCATGGAAATCACGATTAATCAAAAACCCAGTTAAGACAAATTTTATTCAAAGTAGTACTGTAATACTGTACCTTCATAATACTATAGGCCTACCTGTATTTAAATTTACTCAACCTCATTTTTATGTTATCTCATGCCCTTTTTAATACTTTTTTTACATTACACTGAAGTATGAATTAGTTATTTCAATCACAGTGTTCAACAACATCCAATACTTTTTACGAATATTCACACTTCACACTTAAAAAAAANTACATCCAACACTTTTTACGAATATTCACACTTCACACTTAAAAAAAAATTAATATTGTCGTTTGCTTTTTCGCGGCATTTTCCTTTTTACGGATATCCGTACGAAGCCTACGTAATATTAGCTTGTCACTTAATAAACTGTTCTCTTCACTCTCAAAATAGTCTAGTAAGGATTCCAAATGATTAAGAGCAGCACCATGTGATATTTTCTTACTAGCAGCACTGCCCACCTCTTCCTCATTCTCACTTTCTTCCCGCTCTTCTGGCTGCACCCCGACTGAACTTACGGTTTCGTCACTGCTTAACATTTCGAAGCCCGGATCACACGAGTTTCTGTTGAATACTTAACACAACACGCTTCCTTTTACACCCTGACATTTTGCTAATGCACTTGAAGATCGATACAAAGAGACTAATTGGGGCGGTATATCTGACCATGAAACTTTCCACAAATCCTTGCATTCTTTCACCCCTACCCTAGAACATTGTGTTAGCATAACGGGACCAAAGAATGCAGAGCTCGGTTCACACTAGTGCGAAAATAGTGTTACAACTCACCATGTGAAACAAAAGCGAATGAATTTTAAACAACATATAAGCCTTAGTAGCCCCGGATAATCAGTCAATATAAATCATTGTTTAGAAACTTAGTTATGAGGCGCTATACAGGATGTCCCAGGAGTTTGGTGCCATACTTAAGGAGCGTACTGAGGGTGCCGTATAGAATAACTTTGAAATAACCCATGGCCGCAAACGTAAAATAGCAGCGCATTTAAAATCGTTTCATTTAAACTTGGTGCCTCAATGCGAACTGCATTGCATAGAGGAACAGCCATCCACCGGCACTTGAGCCATTGCCAAGATTGTGGGAACATCAAAATCAAGTGTTTGCAGGATCCTGCATCACCAACAACTTTATCCGTATCATCCAACGCGAGTACACGGCATAGGTCCAGCAGACTCCGTACCACGAGTTCAATTTTGTCAGTGGATACTGAAGCAGTGTTTACATCAGCCCAACTTCCTGAATCACCTGTTATTCACAGACGAAGCGTAGTTTACAAGGGATGGCTGGTTCAACTGTCGAAACAGCCACGTTTGGGCTTACGAAAACCCCAACGTTACTGTAGTTTGTTACCACCAGGTGCAATTTTATGTCAATGTCTGGGTGGGCATCATTGGCGATCACTTGACTGGGCCTTTCCTCCTACCACCGCGACTCAATGGGCCCTTTTACAAGGTGTTCCTGAACGTATCTTTCGGCTTTGCTAGAAGACGTGCCACTGATTGTGCGGGGGCAAATGTGGATACAGCATGACGGAGCGCCGGCACACTTCAGCACTGTATTACGAGACTACCTGGATGCTGCTTTTCATGGTCGTTGGATAGGAAGAGGAGGCCCAGTGCCTTGGCCACCCCGATCCCCAGACTTGACACCTCTGGACTATTTCGTCTGGGGCCGTGTGAAGAGCCTGATCTACAACACGCCTGTAAATAATGAATTCGAGCTGTTGGCCAGAATACTTGTTGCTAGTGACGTGATCCGTGAGGCACCTGGAATATTTGAAACGTGCGCCAAAGTTTCTTTCGTCGACGTAACTCGTGCATTGAAAATGGAGGGCGCCAATTCCAACATTACTCTAGCAGATGAGTCTTAAATATGCCTGTGCATGCTCTTCGATATTGAGGCGCCAAGTTTAAACAAAATGATATTAAATGCCGCCCTAGCGCTGCTATTTTACGTTTGCGGAAATGGGTTCCTATTTCAAAGTTATTCTATAGGGAACCCTCAGTACGCTCCTGAAGTATGGCACCAAACACCTGGGACACCCTGTATAGCATGCGAGAAATCCATGTTAGTTTGCTGAGTGTCAGACAAGGATAATTTCCGGAGTTAGTTTGAGGTGCATTGTCTCAATCCTCTGAATTCCTTTAAGCATAAAATAATCAACACCAGCTAGATATTAGTTTGGGTGCATGCAGATTTGAGTTGAATGATGGAAGATGTAATAGAACTTGAGGTTGATGACATGCAGATGGTAGCACCTAAACAGCCAACATGGCTCTTATTATTACGTAATTTGCATCAGTGGTCATGACTATAACTTGGTAGGAACACGGAATCTTTTATGTTAGGCATCAGCACAGTAGAGGAGTTACTGGGGGGCCCCTTCACTGACTGAAGATCAAAAGGATGGATTGACCAAACGATTTAGAGGAGGATGGAATAGGCCACAGCCTAGTCATAGAAATTTGTGATTAATCCTTCCATGTTGAGTCTGGAAGAAAACAGTTTTAGACAGCTTAAAATAGGCTCTTTTCTATCCTGGTTCCTACTAAAGAAACCTAGAATATTAGCTTTACAAGTTCTTCCCACAGCATCCAAGACTGAAGTGTAGGAGTTACTTATATCAAGCGACATATTGCGTGCAGAGTTTGGAGCAGGCCATCGAACATATTCCTCGAAGCGGATAATGAAATTTGTGGCGGCCGGTGGTAGCCCCATCATTGACGTGCGTCAGGACCGTCAGGACAATACCTTGCACGCTGCCAGGATCAGCATTTACGCGCTCCTGCAGTATACCGGTATAGACGCAAGGTCGCGAATGCTGGCAAGGAGGCGGCAGCCGAAATAGCCCCATTTCAAACCAAAGTGACGTCACCTCCACGAGAAATAGACTTCCTGTAATGTGCACCGAATGAACAGATAATCGTACGATACCTTAGGTTGTGATAGCTGAAAATGGGGGTGGACGCAATGTGCTCGGTTCCAGCGTGCTTCGCTTTGAAGAAGCAATTTTTATTGTGTTTCGACAGCAGTCCCGAGAAAACGTTAAATGCAGCAATGAATTCGCGAGCCTGCGGTGTAAAAATTTTCTTTCAGTGAAAAAAGAAAAAGTTGGGCGTTTCTCCAGATTTTTCGCTCATCTGGAACGTCCATCTAATAGTGAAAAGTCATTTCTATCCCAAGAAACACCAAACCTGTCTGAAATTTGTACCTACCAGTAAGGTCTCTTTCGTTTTGCGTGTCGAATTTCCATAATTTGTAAATGCCGGAGAAACCGACTTAAGGATTCACTGAGCGAGACATATTGATTTCAATACACACCAGAGATTAGAAAGAAGTAGATTCGTGAGTCAGGTTATCATTTCTGTACACAAGAAAGATGCACTATATGATTGTTCATATTACAGAGGTATATACTTAAGTATCATGGGCGTGGTGGGAAAAATATTTGTAAAAGTAGAAAAGGAATAGTTCATTCGGTATAGCTACGGATTGGACGGCCCAAGTTGGGATTCCTGGCAGTGAAAGATTTTACTCTTCACAGCGCCCTGACCAAACCTGGGGCCCACCCAACCTTCTATGCAATGGTTACCGTGGGTAAAGCGGCAGGAGCGTGAAGCTGTCAAGGAATGTGGAGCTATAACCCTACTCTCCGATATGTCTTCATAGCAGAG